TTTTTTGTTAATTAGAGTTAATTTTGAAAAAAAATAGTATGCTTAGTTGTTACTTGTTAGTGAGATTTTGATTTTAAGATAATATATGAAATAAAATAATTAAAGTTGATTTGACGTAAAAATAGGAAAAAGATGGTGTGTATTGATGATTAGTTAAATTTACGTGAGATGAAGAATATTAAATTGAAGTTTATGTGATGTGTAAGAATGATTGGTTCGTATTATTTAATTATATTGATAATATTGAAGAGAATAAGTTGAGTTAAAATTGAGATGAATTGTGAGTATGAAGTATGAATTGAATTTTTTCATATGCAAACACACCCAGTGTTACATTTGAAGCATCAAATTATCTCGTTAAACTGGGGTGAAATATATAATTTTGCTTTCCCCTTTTATTTTGTTAAGCCCGAATCTTTTTCTTTGTGGCCCAACCAATCTTTTCAGGAAGGCCCAAATATATTTTCTTCTTGCAGCCCAGCTCGATTTTAGTTGTGCTAAGAGCCCAGCAAAACCGATGGTCCGCAATTTGCATTGTGTAGTGAAATACCACTTATAAGACTTTACAATTACGAACGTCCATAAACTGATGTATCGATACATATACTAAGTGTGTAAGTTTTTTTTTTTTTTTTTTTTTTCTTAAGTGTGAGTTTCACCTTACAATTACAACAATTGGTACAACACATACCCACATATCGCGAAACTGCGAATGTATATGATCTGACGGTTAAAATCCCGAGATGAGAGTGCCCATGAGGCAAGATTTAATTTCTCATATTTATTTCATAAGACTTGTTCGATACATAATTTGTAGATAATTGTTGATGCCCACTATGTAATTTTTAATATATTTACTTAGGAGACATGTCAATACATAATTTATAATTTTGTAGATAATTGTTGATCCTATGAGGTAACATCTAATTTACGGTATTTGTTTTAGAAGATGTGTCAAATGCATAATTTGTAGATAATTGTTGATGCAGTTAGGTAAGATATCTAATTTACCTTGCTTATTTTAAAAGACGTGTCAATACATAATTGGTAAGATATCTAATTTACCTTGTTTATTTTAAAAGACGTATCAATACATAATTTGTAGATAATTGTTGATGGTTGCATAGGGGTGTGCAAAATTCGACTGAAATCGACCGAACCGACCGAACCGGCGTTCGGTTTTTATCCGACTCGGTCGGTAGTCGGTTTTTAATTTGTAACTTTTCGGTTAGTTTGGTCGGTGTCGGTTTTCGGACACAAAATGTCCGAAATAACTGAACCGACCGAATAACATATATATATATATATATAATATCATATTATATATTATAAATTTATAATATAACATTAATATATAAATATATAATATAATATATAAATTTATAATATTATAAAATATATATATATATATATATATATTTTTTTTTGTAAAAATTCGGTTAACCGACCGAACCGACCGAACAATTCGGTTCGGTTAAACTTCGGTTTTAGGCCTTAATTCGGTCGGTTCGGTTTCTGAAATTTAACAATTCGGTTAATTCGGTTTTCATAGTTCGGTTCGGTCGGTCGACCGAACCGACCGATGAACACCCTAGGGCTGCATAGCACCATCTATCAATGCCTTGATATCAAAATTGTGCCATTATACATTTGAATCAGTAAAATCAGTAGCATTTTATTGACATACCATAACGGTTCTATCAAGTTTCTAACTAAAGTAGCATTGACAAAGAAATGATTACTAAAGCTACACAAAAGCAGCTAACTCAGGCAAAAATCAACTCCATAGCCGTAGCAATAGCTCATCATCAAGAAGTCAGATAAATAATATGAAAAAATGTCAGTTGTCTGCTTGTCTACATTCATCATGACCCTTCAAATTAACCATTCCCAGAATCAAGACCCTAGCTCATGGATGCATCATAGTCAAGGTAAGTAACTAAACCAACTTTCAAGGGGAACTCTTTGTTACTAACCCTAGCCAACTCAACAAAGAAACGATGCAAAGGTGGGCCCCACCCGGATTCCATTCCATCACACCACTGCATCAAACCTCGGCTCATAGAAACACATCTGGCTGTTGTGAGACTGAAGGGCACACCCAGCTATCCAAGACCACACCTTTTTGTCCACGTCATACAGCAGCCCTTTACCCTGGTTCCAAGACGTGAAGCAAATCAAATTGTCCTGCCCGAAGCACTCGAACCTCTCCGCCGAAAGCCTCAAGAGCGCTCGGAAATATCTAGGTGGCATCCTGCTCACCTCGCCCCACACAAACTTTCTGTGGTCCAGCTCCCATATCCTCATGCTCTGCAGCGTGCTATAAACCCCAATCCTTCCGACCAAGAACAGCCGCCTGTGGGCCCCGGCTATGAGGTACCCGTCAAGCAACGAGCGTGGGAATTTCGCGGGTATGTGCTCCCACTGCCCCGTGTCGAGCCCGTACATCATGAGGCCGAGTGGGGATAGCGTCTCAAGGTACAGCCTCGAGTCGCAAAAAGCCATCTTGGACGAGCAGAGGTTGACAGCTGGCATCGTCTCGTGGACCAGCCACCTGTCGAGCTTCGATTCGTAGACCTCGGTCGGAAGGGAACGGTCCCCGTAAATATCGCTGGCCGCAATCACTTTAAACGAGCGGTCCTTGCGATCAACTGCCATAATCAACTGCCTCTGTTGGTTGTAATGCATGCTGGGTAGAGTCCTCCAGGTTTGGGTCAATGGGTTGCATATCAGTATCTTGAAAGTGGACGAGTCCAAGCCCGAGAAGCAGACGAGCCCACACGACGAGCCCACGAGCCAGAAAGCCCATTGGGGTAGGAAAGTGAATGGGATCCTAAACCATTGCTTTAAAGGGAGGCTAAATACAGAGCATTGAGGGGTTTGGGCGTTTTTCCAGTAGGTTAAGAGGCAGGGCCCGTGTGAGGGCACCTGAGAGTGGAATTTCAAGAAGCTGTTATCTTGGAGGATCGAGTTCCATCTCTTGCAAACCGAACGGAGCCTGAATATCATGAATGGTGGGACACGGGCAAGGATTTCGTTCAGAAGGTCTTCCGGGAGCATGGCCCATATGTTGTCTTCCATCTGGATATCGGGATGGGCTGTTCTGATGAATGTTGTTACGGTCTCTTCGTCTAAACCGCGCGGTTTGGTTTTGATGGATTTTTGCTTGGATGGGCTCGTGTTTCTTGAGCCCATTCGACTGAGAGGGCTGGTGTTCCTGGATGGGAGGGGGCTAGTGTTTCTAGATCGGCAGGTCCCGAAATTTGCCTGACGGTGAAGAACTTCTTCCTCTCGGAAAAAATTGGTTCTCTCTTGTATGGAATTGGATGTTCTAGACACAGATTCGGAAGCTTCCCCCATCTCAAATTTTCAAGAAAGAAATGTTTTGAGTTCTTGCTCCAGAATCTGATAAGCTCTAGACATAGTCCATTGTGTCGAAACAGAAGAATTATCGGGAGCTCCCAAGTTTCAGCCACCAATTTCGGAATCCCTAGTCATATCAAATGTACAAATTCATCAGAAACCCTCAACGTGTAGATAGAGCAAGCAGGATAAATAAACTCCAGCTCATAGACCTAACATTGAAAACTCAAAACAACCAAATGGGCAGATTTTGGCGATACTTTCAGATTAAAAATTGCAGCTTTTCCTAACCAAGATCCGAGTCAAATGGTACACATAAACAACAAAACCCATCTGAGAAAATTAAAAATACAGTCTTTGATGCGAAATCAGACAGACGCGAAGCAAACACACAACTGTAGCTAAGAATTAAGATGTTCGCTACCTCATTTTAGTAGGTCGAAGATAATCCCAACGTCAGAGCTCAGCCCAGCACAGCAAATCTATTCAGCTAAAGAATAGTTACTGGCACACGATCACAAAGGCAAACAAAAACCCCTTTTCATCAGCAAATCAAAACCCTAGATCCTTGAAGGTCTATTGTTCTCTGCAAATCCCTTTTTCACTCGTTTCTTGAGATTTGAAGTTCTTCTTTCTGTTAGGTGAATCGCACATTCGCGCTCGCATTACAGTGTAGATTTGTAT